ATCTACTACCTTGGTATCATTTTCATTTGCTGCTGCACGTAGAATATGACAGAAGCACTATGCTGGGCAAAATAAATCCATGGTTGTTGATCTAGAATCTCTGGTTGCCATCCACTGTCTCTCTCCAGGAGCCCACAGGCTTCTGAGTCAATAATCACTAACATGAGTGCTGGTTGGAGTCAAGAGGACATAAATTGATAGAAAGTTATTTTAATTTGATAATAACAGTGTCCTTGAAAGGTCAGTAGTTTTTCTACAGGTATATAAATTTACTGAGAACAATGTTAAATAGTGTGAAAATGCAGAAACCATCACAATAACACCCATTTTGCCCAAATGCTCTTGTTGTATTACTTCTTGAAATTTGTGAATATGAAAGCATTTATACAAAGCACATAACTATTTTCCTTGAAATATTTTTAGATCATTGAAGATTTTAAATATCCTGATACATGCCAATGGCTGTGCAACTTGCTGCCAGTGATATTATTTAAACATTATAGCAAAAATTATTTTCCAGACAAATTAAGATAAATATTTTCAGTTATTCAATTTTCAACAAGTACATATATAATTAAATATTCAAAAATAGAACACTTGGCTCATGAGATAGCTCTGTAGGTAAATGAACTTGTCACCAGGCCTAATGAATTGAGTTCAATCCCTGGTGATAGAGGGACTGAACTCATGTGTTAGAGATCCAATGTATGTAAGTTGTCCTATGATTTTCACAGGTATGCCAAGCCACAGATGTACTTCTGTCTCTGTGCTCTCTCTCTCTCTCTCTCTCTCTCTCTCTCTCTCTCTCTCTCTCTCACACACACACACACACACACACACACACACACACACAAAACCACACATACAATCAATAAAATGGAAAAATAAAAACAACTTTTGCAAGACTCTGTTTTTCTAGGTACAACAGGGATGCTACCCCTCTAGATGAAGGGCAATTAAAGTCCTGAGAGGGAGAACTAGTCTTCTCCATATATGAGCACCCCCAACAATTAATTTATCCCATCTGGTCAGCCCTACAAAACATACATGTAACACTAAACAGACCCAAAAAGCTATATTTTTGTTTACATACACACACACACACACACACACACACACACACACACACACAGAGAGAGAGAGAGAGAGAGAGACAGAGAGAGACAGAGAGAGACAGAGAGAGACAGAGAGAGAAAGACATAAACAGAGAGAGACAGAGAGACAGAGGCAGAATGTTTATAAAGCAATAATAGTTATAGAGGCCATGAATTTGCATGATTTTGAAAGGAAGTGATGGCGATATGGGTGAAGTTTCAAAGAGGAGAGGGAAGGGGGAATATGATGTAATTACATTTTAACCAAGTCAAATATCATATATATAAAAAAGTGGGTTTTGAGACCATAATCTCTTTATGATTAATTTGCAAAGTATTACAATATTTAATTTGATATGTTATAATTAAATTCAAATATTTCAATGATTCCTCTCTGTGCCTTTTTGTCTATAGGCAACATGGAAAGAAATGGCAAGCCTCGGACCCGTCCACTCACCTTCACACCTTGGATAATGCACTTAGATCAACTTCAGTTTGGATCTCTTAGTGCATAAAATGCCTTTTCTCTGTCTAAACACAAATTTTCGTTGGAGATAAAGAAATATTCTTTAAATATTAGTAAAGCCATTATTTTAGATATTTTAAAAAGATATTTAAACTATATTCACAATGTTCAATATTAAATCTTATTTTAATTGTTTTCCTTGGCATACACAAAAGAATACTAATAATTCTTATGCATCTATATAGTTTGGGTTTGATTTCACAATTTTTGCTATAATAAAACTGACACTGAGATTTGTAAATATTTATTCCTTCTGACATCATGAAATTTATACTTAATCCAGTGGTTTTATTTCAATACAAATTTCCAAAACATATTATTTTCTAGAGGTATCATTTTTCTAAGAGTTTATTCTTCAAATCCATAAAATAATTTCTGTATGCATAAATATTGGAGCTGGTGAATCTTTGTCTGGTAGATAATCAAAGAAGGAAGTGATTAGTACATGCCATGGAACAAGGAGATGACAGGAAGTCTCTGGTAAAAAAGACTTTTCTATTAGACAAGTTGGGATGGATGGGATCAGGGAGATGCAGCAATTCCAAGTTTTCTTTAAAATTACAATTCACAGTAGAATATATTTTAAATCAAGTTTCTAAATGCAGAAACACTAAAGACTAATGAGATAAGAAAGTTATCTCAGTTTGTTCTGTTCTGATAAGTTCAATTAACTTAAGGAATGAATGTTTAATAGTTCCAATGCTTGCACATTTTAAAGTTCACTATGTTATTCTGCTCTGTGTTACACTGTGGCTGGGGTTTGAAAACAGATTGACTATTTCACTTTTAGAACTATGCACTTTGATGAGGTATACTCCCACTCTTACATATCACATTTTAGTGGTGAAAACATGACCAGACTACATGGGAAAAGTAAAGATTATACAGCACAACAGGAAGCCAGAATGAAGGTAAGGGTGAAGCTCTGTGTCAGCCAGCTTTCTGTTAATATAACAAAATACCTGAGATAATTAATTTAAAAGGTGAAAAGACTACTTTGCATCACAATTTCAGAGATTTTAGGTTAAGATAAATTGACTTCCTCACATTGGCCCTGTGGTGAAAATTATATCATGATAGAGTATGTGACAGATGTGACTGTTGTTAATTGTTAACATGACAGGATCTGGAATTACCCAGGAGATGGGCCTCCGAGCGAGACCACTGGTATAATATTGATTGCATTAATTGAGGTAGGAAGAACCATCCACAGTAGGTGACACCATTCTCCATCTGGGATCCTGGACTATGTAAATTTAGAAAGGAACTGAGCAGATGCATGCATCGTTCTCTGTTTCTTCCTTAGTTATTTCAAGTTCTCCCTGCCTTGACTTCCCTGTTTGATGGACTATACTTGTAAGTCAAAAACACAGAAGCTGTCTTAGGCAGTGTTGTATTGCTATGAAGAGACACCATTACCACAACAATTCTTATAAAGGAAAACATCTAACTGGAGCTTGCTTTCAGTGTGAGGGGCTTAGTCCATTGTAATCAGAGCAGAAAGAATGGGAGCACACAGTCAGACATGGTAGCTGCAGGCATCTAGATGCGAGAGACACTGGGACCAGCTTAGGATTTTGAAAACAAGGAAGTTATCAGAAAAAGGGAGGATGGGGTAAATTACCTGATTAAAAAAAAAAAAAACAGACAAAGCAGCAGACAGGAAACTGTAAGCTCTGAGGAAAACATTTTCATGGAAAACATTGAATATCTGAGTAGTATTTTGGAATAAAAACAATATAAGTTTGTGCAACAAAGAAAAATTCAGGGCAGTAGGCAGATGCAGTTCTCGCCTCCAACACTGTCACAATCCCAGCCACCAGCACCCTTTGTCTCTCAGACCACACTTATGTCCTCAGGGCAATGGTAATGGGACACTTTTCCATCAAAGATCACTTCCGAAACAGATGCATGGGAAATGGAGCTGGAAGTGTGGCAGCTGTGTATTTGACTTTCATCAAGAAGCACTCTGTGCATCTCATGTTTAAGCTCCTCCATTGTTTTCACTAGGTCGCTTGGTGTATGTAATCTGGAGCCTGCTTGCTTGCTTATCACTGTTCTTTCTTCTCTAAGGAAACTGGATAAAAAGAAATATAGAGCTGACCGAGGTAGTTGCTAGCAGCAACTGAGTTAACCTCCTTCAGCACATCCTGGCTGTGCTGCTGGAAATCCTATGACTTGAGCCACACCCGAATTATGGGATGTAGATGCTGTTACAGCTCCTAATCTAGAAGGGAGAAGGCAAACCTGACCAGGTCTGAGTCAGTGGCCAAGTCCAATCAACTCAGTCACTGGAGCCCAGGGTCTAGGTCAGAACAAGCTGTAATGTCCTTTCACTTGAGTGGCTTACTCCTTAAAAACCTCCCCTAAGCAAATAATTTTAATCACTCCATATATACTTCTGTTTAACTTAACAAGTATTGAAAACCCATTTATATAATTATTTGCCTTACAAAAATAAAAGTGCTGCATGAAACATCAATATCTCTTTGTCCTTTTTCCTTGCCATGATTTGTCACTAATAAGATCTGCTTCTCTTTGTTAAAGGACCCATTGATGGTGCTTATGCATTCATTTCAGTCAATTTTAGAAAACATGTGTTTGAAATGATGGCATTCTCTTTATAAAGTGGTTTTAAGGTGATGTTAATTGATAGATTCTTATTTGCCCCAGTTCTGTATTTTATTGTAAATTAAAACATTCCTTCAATAGATGTAGCTAGTAGATACTGCCTCCTTTTATGGTACAGTTTAACAATATGTAATATTCTCGCAATCCACGGAAGCATAAAAATAGCTTTCTTTTGTTATCACTTGAGAGTTTTCTAATTTATTCTTCTTATTAAATCTTTAAGAAAAAGTAAAAGAGTGAAATTTGTGAATTACCCTATATTAAAGATAACCTCGCATTCTTTGCACAGTAGAATAGTGCATTAACACATACTTGGAAATGAGGTATACAGTCTTAAGAAAGAACATTATGCAAATATTTATAAAACAATATTAACAATTAGGTGAAGTTAATGAGGACTGCAAACAAGGTTGAATAAATTCATGTTGTTGCTAAGATAGGTGGTGAAGAGGAGAGTTTAAATATGGACTCGTCTTTCACTTGGTGAATATGCCTTTAAGTAACTTCCACCTAAAACATATTTGTCAAAGGTTATTTAAATAAAAACACGTGCATTGGGCCAATATATTTCCTTACAGAGGTGTCTCTCAAGAACTCCAAGCACACAGTTGGATCATCAGCCGTCTTGACGTATATGGAACCACTGACAAGGAGATGTGTCCTATACGTCAGTCTTTGGATGCTCACAGGCGCAGTGCATGCACAGCGCTGTTGCACCAGCTCTCGCGAGACTAGCTGTTAGGGGCGTTGCCGCTGAGCTAGTTGGCCACGTGGTGCAGGCCCCACTGCAGGATAGCGTGACTTGCGATGACTCCCATCAAGCTGCTGGTGCAGCCTACCCAGAGTCTGGAAGGCCGAACGTACGCAGAGTACGAATCTGTGAACGAATGCATGAAAGGCATCTGTAAGATGTACGAGGAGCACCTGAAGCGGATGAACCCCCTTAGCCGGTCCATCACTTACGGCATCAGTCAGTTGTTTGAGTTTATCGACCGTCTGGTGGACCTCAGCTGCCTGGTGTTCCGAGAAGATACCCAGACCTACAAGCCTTACAACCGAGAGTGGATCAAAGAGAGGATCTACACGCTCCTCAGTCAGCAGGCACAACCAGCCGGGACATAGTCATCTGGAGGATTCCGGGACTGGGGCTGACCTGGACCACAGGTGTGTATGGTGCGGTGGTGGTCGCTATGACTCATAACTTCTTTTATCCTCATTTTGTTAGGTGTTTGATGAAATCTGGGCCTCTTTTTACTTTGAAAACTCCATTGCCCTCTTCATTGATTTTTTTCTCCTTTAACTTTTTTTTAATAATGCTCTAGATGGAAATGGTCCATATTTGCTTTATAATATTCACTATGCCAACTGCTCGAGGTAGCAAGGGGGTGGTGACACTGATATACGATGCTCTCCAGATAACTCGGTGAAAAATAAAGTTCTTTAGTTACAAGTTTACAAAGGGGGGTAGGGGGATCTGGAAAGATTCGTTTAAGCACCATATTTTAGAGGGTTCTGCTCTTGGTGACTTGACTCTATTATTTACGCTCCTGGTGAGGCAGAACAGAACAATCACCTCATAACTAACAGGAAGCAAAACGCTTAGGCAGGAATTGGGGGTGCTCAAGGTGTAGTGTAGAAAGTCATGAACTGGTGACCCACACTCAGCACATAGGTCTCTTCTCAAACAGCACTAGCAGCTATGAGCCTGGAGAGGTTGGTTTCATATTCAGATCATAAAATACAACTTAAGTTTATATTTTACTTTGATTCTATTTTAATAAGTATAATTTAACTAATAAATACATTTTTATGTCCTTACATACATACAGATAAAATGTGGTCAACAGAGATCTATGAGTTTAATTGTCCTTATTATTTCTGGTCATGTATCTAACCCCACATTCCCTTTAGTCCACCCATCCTGACATCAGAAGGAATGTGTTGCACTTCTCAATTTGTGACATTTTTAATTGACTGATTAACGTTTGTCTCTCTTGAATCATAAACAAGATTTTGTAATAACCTTATGATTAGTGAATGACTTCTCTCTCCTACGTCTAAGTGGCCATGCAAAAGAACGTGGATGTTAAGCACATTAGAATATGACCTCTCTAGTGCTAATTAAATTAGCTAACAGTTTGAAACAAATACACAGAGAGCTTTCTGATGATTGATCTCCTGATAACTGCACCAGCCGTGATGAGCTGTTATTGCTATTAGTCCCCATTTTGCAGATAGAAAAGTAAATCTCCCAGAACACATGAATTGTTCAAAGTCATATCTCTAATACTTTGGATAAAGACAAATTCTTAATGTTTTATGTCTATTTCTCATCATTCTTTTACTGTATTCATTCATTATGTAAATATTTTATGATTGGGCAAATAGCTGTTTTTCTATTTGTAAATAATGGTGTCAGTAGGATACTTTTAAATCTAGATATGGTGCTTGAAGATATTTCATTATATAATTTATGCTGTTGGACACTGAAATGAGCTGTTTAGTGATTTGCCTTGGTTTCTGTACATCATCAGGTTTGTTTCCACTGATAGGATAATGAACTCTAACTAGCATATAAATACATATGTCACCTTCATTTGTGAATCATTTAAATCGATATTTGTACTTTTTTAACATTTCACTTTCATTTTTTTTTTTTTTGCACATATGTGTAAGTACATGCATCCCATGGTGAGCTTGTGGAGAACAGAACAGTTGCAGGGGTCACCTCTTTCTACCATTTGTAGACTCCAGGGATTTAACTTAAGTCTTCCAGCTTAGCAGCAAGTGCCTTAAGTAGTTCAACTATCTCATTGCCTTCAAATTCAGATGTCAAGAGAGGATTTCATGTAGCCCAGGCTTGCCTCAGAATTGCTTTGTAGCTACAAAGCGATGTAATCTTCTCATGACCTCCCATGTGCTGAGATTACAGGTCTCTACCCAATCCTGCCTTATGTAATACTGAGGATTGAACCCAGAGCTTTGTGCTTGCTAGTCAGACACTCTACCAACACAGCTACATAACCATCCCTTTAATTTATACAGACAATACCCTTTAAAGGAAGAATAATATTTAAAATCCAGTACTTCCCACACTATTTTTCATGTGTTATATACAACAAGATCTTGTGCTTAGGAGTAAGTAGAACAGGAAGCATCAAGTATAACTCAAACTAAGCAACAGCACTAAGATACATGGCAAGGAAATGCCTGCCAGGTAATAATTTATCATTATTTTTCCAATTCAAATTCCATATAAACAAAATGAAAGATAGCACTTGTGAGAGCTACAATAAGAACTGTCTGGGCTGCTCCCAGGAGAAGTCGAACAGACTGCAATAACTAAGAATTAAAATAGGGCACAGTCAAAAAAGTGCTTGACTTCAGTCTCTGGAACTCTTGTAAAAAAAAAAAAAAAAAGCCAACCATATAAGTATATACATATAAGCACAGGAGTCTCCTTGGAGCTCATTAGCCACCAGTCATGCCTGTTTGGCAAGTTACAGGCCCAGGAGAGATTGTAATAAAGCCATGGTGGATGGTCCCTGAAAAGTAGCACCAAGCAGCATGTGTACCCACACACACATGTACCTGAATATATATGAAAATGCATGCACACACATACACATGCAAGATTCAATAAAAAAACATATAAAATTGCATTTGCATGTGTAACAAGATCTAGTTTAGAGTAGCAAGGTTGCATAAATAAGAAGAGCTTTATACAAAGAAATAATAAAATAATTTAGAAAATGTTAAATCCGAGGGGAAATTTGAAGTATAATGTGGAAAATATATTTGATAAAATGTGTGTCAATATATATTTCTTGTCTGATATGATTTCCTGAATATATATTTATATTGTTTTATTGACCCACAGGGAACATTCATGATCAAGGAGGCAAGAGTAAGCTGTAGCGACGAGCCATTTCCCATGGAAGGCTACACCTAACCTGTGAATTATTTTTCTTCACATGAGCTTTGAGAATATATGTCCTTGAAATTTGTATTGTCACCTACTAATAAAATTCAAAACAAACCATAGTAAAAGAATCGCTTTAAATTGCTTTAAATTTTAGATAGGTCTATATCAATTGCATATTAGAAAAATATTCATATTACATCTTTTTATCCTTTTTTTCTCTCCCAACACATATCCATTGTATGTATGTCTGCCATCATTGAATTTTGTCTGCTTTGGATGAGTAAGCAAGGAAACAGTAGATTCAGGGTATCCTCTTTGAGTTCCATGGGATGCTGGGAATGATTGTATGTATTGGGCTTGGCTATAAAGGTGGGAATACAGACAGACTGACTAAAAGAAAGAAATGAGGAACCATAAACTTCCAATAAAAAGCAGTCACCTTCTCACCACTACTGGTGCTGTAAGCCCCGCTGTAATCCCCTTTTTATTTTACTATTATTATTCTTTTATTCTAGCCAGGTTAGCTCATTGTACCAATGATAAAGGCATCTGATCTAAGGGGCAACAGTGGAGGTAGGTCTACCCTTCTGATTGCCCTTCTTACTCCTGTTTTGTTGGGTGGGTTCCATTTGTTCAATCCAGATGGAGCTCATGAGTAGGTCCCAAAGCTGCTTCTCCACCATTAGTGTGTCTAGGGTTACAGCTCTCAGGCTTTGGGGATTGAGAGGTTTGAACCTTACAGGGTTGGTTGTAGAAGAATTTCTAAATGGTCTTAATAAATAAAAAGACAGATCTGGAAATATGGGCTAAAGCCTGAGAGAAAGATAAGAGGAATAGGACAAACCATGAGGTAGCCTCACCTCACCAACTCCACAGCTTCCAAAAAGAGCTTCTTCCTGTATACTCACGTTTATATGCCTTTTCTGTTCTGTACTCTCTTGACTCTCTTAGCCCAGCTATATCACTTCCTCTTCCTACCCAGCTCTATCACTTCCTGTCTGTCTGTACAGACCTCCAGACCTCCATAGTTAACTAGTTTTGGAATTTAAGGTGTGTACCACCACACTTGGCTCTATTTCCAGCATGGCCTTGAATAGGATTAAGGGCATGTGCTGCCATTGCCTGACTTCTTTGTGTACCTAACATGTCTTGCTATTTCCTCTGATCTCCAGGCAAGCTTTATTTATTAAAGTACAAATAAAATATCACCACATTTCAACACAAATTAAATATCACCACAGTTGGTTGTACAGCTCTTGTGCCCAGCATATCAGAACCCACCCTATGTAATCTGGCCCTAGCTCCCTAGAACTCCTCTAGTAACGGGACCACAGGTGCCTCATCTTTGATCTTCACAGGATTTGAATGTCTGTTTTTGGTTATGGCCTCTGCTTCCTGACAGAAATGCCCCAGGATGCTCTTTGAAACTTTTCAGGCACCTTCTCACCACCATTGTAACTGTAAACATTGCTGTCATCCCTATTGGTGAAATTATTAAGGTCATTCCACAGAGTTAAAAGGGAGGTTTATTTTGTAGAGTAACTTACAAGTGAAGGGATAGGTTACAGGGTCTGGGAAAGGTGTAGCAGTCCATCTGTGTTCTCTGGAGAACTCTGCTTGGTCTACCTCCGGAGTCCAGGCTCCAGGAACCAAGAGGGCCCACGCATCTGGATCTCGGATCTTCAGCATTCTCTCTCAGCTCCACCTTGTAGGCATGACTGTTACCAAAACCTCAATGGGGGTTGGAACTTCCAGGTCAAAGCTGGAATGGCTACCCTCTACACATCCCCTCTTCATTTATTATTATTGTTGTAGTTATTTTTTGTTTTATTATTATTGTAACCAGGTTAGCTCACTGTATCAATGATAAAGTCTCATAGCCAGAGATTGTTGAATGGCAAGGTTGTGGCATACAAATGAAATAAAACAATTTTCACCAATCACAGCTTAGCTTCTCGTTCCACCAAAATTCCTAAAGAGTACAGTGGGCCAGTGTAGTAGAGCCTGCCAGAGTGATGAATAGGATTCAAAGTTAATACGGTACATGATCTTTATACTAAACGACCCAGGGGCAATTCACACATGCTAAGCACGTGCTTTGCCACTGACCCACACGCCTACCCCAGAGACTGGTAATTTAAATGGAAATATTTCATTAAAGCAATTAAATACTGCTGGTGCATTCATAAATAGGCACATACCTCCCTTTCATTTTGTCTTTCCCTCTCTTTCATTCATATACAAACATAAGTGAGACAAAGATCCATGTGTTGTGAATAAAAAAGCATTTCCCTAATATAGGACGATAAAGATCTTTTGAGGTCTATATTAGTGTCCTACAATTCCTGAAAGAGATATATTAAAATATACAGGTACAAAAATATCTGGAAAACATGGCTTGATACAAGTAGATTAAATTTAATTTATAGCATAAAATAACAGTATAAGTTATCCATAAGTAAGAATAACAGGAGGGAGGGAGGGAGGGGAAAGGGAGGGAGAGGGAGAGCACTCACCATAATCTTGGAAGTGTTATGCAACCAAAACCCTGCTAATTTGAGGAAATTATATCTGTGCTTAAACCCATGTCTGCAATCACCTGCATGATTATAGGGTCATGAAGGAATACAGATTTTCCCAGTGTTTTGTAACATTTTTCCTAATTGAAATGTTCCTTCTGAAGAAAGGAAGAATTGAGACTCATAAGCCTCTAGAAGTTCATAAAATGTACCAGACTCAGGAAGCCCAGAAAATGGGTGATTCACAAGGCCCTTTGCCCAGGATGCACCTGTTGTAAGTAACTGGAGAGAGGAGACATTTTTGGTGGAGCTGACTGAAAGTTGTGCAGGGAATCACAGGACACAGCTTTTGTGAATTGTCACTCTCCTGGGGCTGGCTTTGTAGTGATGCACTAGCCTTTATGTTGCCAATGATTCTATAAGTAGCCCCTTGTGTATAGTCCTGTAAGCAAGCTCAGTTTAACTGAATGATTAAACAAAAGTTCTGCTCTATTTGCCTGTTTGTCATCAATGATTTAATTTTGTGTATTTTCATCTACTTTTCTCTTAGCTTATTTACTGTTTCATGTCAGCAGCACAACATCAGGATGCCCATTTATTCAGTTTTCAGTTTATTATTTTCAGATTTCTCACAGGAATAAAGCCCTTTTCCATTTATAAAAATGATTGCCACTAGCCAAAGGTATTAAACCTTTGGGTTGTAGAAGTGTGTATTACTAATTAATCTACCAGGTATGTATTTTCCAACATTCCCTTTGTGATACATTTTTCACATGGGTTTTGTGTGGTTATTTTATAGTAAGTGGTAAACATTCTATGGGAAATACATGTAGAAAGGCTTATTAATGTGTTATCTATCCTTCCTCAAAAATTATACAGGGAAGCAGCTCACAATCCTAGGATATTTGACTCCATTTTTAAGATTGAGATCATGAATGTTTTTTTCTGTCCATATAAGGATGAGACTATTATTTTATCTCATTTCTAATTCTCTTTCCTTGGCTCCTGGCACTTAAGTTTTTCTTGGACGGTTGTTCTTCCTTGCTCCTTTAGGCATTTTGTTTTGCCCCTTAGTTTGAACTTGACCTGATTATTCAATTTGCTTTGTTTATTTACTGTTTTATTTTAAAACTATACTTTTCATTCCATCTTCTACATTTTCATTCCCTTCCAATTTTCTAGATTGTTAGTTATCTTTCTAGTTATTTTTTTAAGTTGACAACCATGCTTAATAGTTAAAGTCTTGTGTTTTGTAAATTGCTTCATTTTGTCACCACCTATTTACATTTTAATATGGATGCAAGAATGTTTTAAGACTCTCTGAGCATACCAATAGGAATACTTTTAAATTTTCTTTCTTCCTGCTTTTTTTTTCTCTCTGAATTGTATCAGTTTTCTTTGGGGACACGTGTTCTATTTTATTTTTCTTTCTCTCTTCCTTTCCTCATCCAAAATAGATAGCATTTTGCAGCATTATTAATCCTCATTCTCTGAAGTGTTCACAGATTGCGACAAAATCTGTGTCAGGATCATTGGGACCAGAGTCATCTTACTCTATTACTGTTTATCTGATTGGAGAAGAAGTTGAGAATTCCCTGTCTGGCGTGCACTGGTTCTGATGCACATAAAGACCAGAGGAGCACCGTGGGACCACCTCTGGAATCATAACTTTCATCTGTAGTTTTGTGCGTGTGCATTCACACACACACACACACACACACACACACACACACACACACACCATCTTTTAGATTGTTTGGTAAAACTCACTGTCATCACAAAATATTTTAAAGTAACAGTCACTTTGTAGTTCATAACATACGTCTTATTCATGTGGAAATCCTGGGGTTGTTTTTTCCTACAATCTTCCCTGAAATGGCCTCTCATGCTCATACTGACTTTTATGTAGCTATTCATTATCTAAACTTCTAAAGCATCTCCCCAATTACCTGTGGCAAAGTAGGCAGCTCTGGATCCTGATCTTTACGCTTTACAAGTAATTGTTAATGTTTGGGTGTTGTCATTTCCAGTCTCATTGTCGTTCTTGCGAATTTTTGTCCCAGGCACTGTGGTACTCTAAGTGACTCGAAGACAATAAATTATGTGTGCACTATCCTGGTTTCTCAGCTGAGTGACCTTCGTTTCATTTTTGTATGGAATGTCACTTTATTTTGTTTTTAATTTATTATTTTTTGAGATTATAACACAGTTACATTATTTCTCCATTCCTGTTGCTCTCTCTAATCATTACCATGTACCTCCTGGCTCTCTTACAAATTCAAGGCCTCTTTTTTCACTACTTGTTCTTGCATGCATGCTTGCACATGTATGTACATATATACTCCTAAATATAACTTGCTCTTTTGGCATAATGTTACTTGTATGTTGTGGTGATATTGTGTCTTCCAATATATTGTGCACCTTAATAAACTTATCTGGGGTCAGAGAACAGAACAGCCGCTAGATAGACATAGAGGTCAGAAAATGATGGCACACACATCTGGATCTCTGTGAGTTCAAAGCCACACTGGGAACAGCCAGCCATGATGATACACGCCTTTAATCCCATGAAGTGATGGCAGGAAGCAGAAAAGTATATA